GATTTCAAATATTTTCAAAAATAATTAAAATTAGTGAAAATAGGAAAAAAATATAAAGTGAATACAGATTAAAGATATGATTAATTTTTATAATAACACAATAAAATTTAATGTTTATCAATGATTTCCGTTAATATAAATTTCAGTTTAAAATTATTGCATTGATGAGTGTTCAAAGCTATTTTTAGTTTTTTTATTTAATAGAAATTAAATTATTAGAAAAATAACAATTATTAAAATCTACTAATTTTAAACACATTTTTCCCTAGTATTTCAAAGTCCATTTAAAAATAATAAAAAACTGTTAGTTTTATATTTATTAGGGTCCATTTGGTTCGCAAGTGTTTGTTTGGATCATTCCGATTCCAGGTGTTTGATTGGGCGGAATAGGAATCTGATTCCCATTCCAAGCAGAATGGCAAATTGGCAATCCCCCATTTGAGAGAATGGCCATTCCCGACCCACCCCCCAGGAATCGGAATCGCATTCCCATTTGTTCAAATAACAAAAAAACAAAATTCCCTTTTCACTACCTGATTCCAACTTTTTATAACCCTCTCTCACTCATCTTTTGTCTCTCTCTCTCTCTCCTTGTAGCTGAAGAAGAACGGATTTCCATTGAAGCTCCAACGATGACAAGGTAAGTCACTATCGATTTTGCTCTCTCTCCTCTTCTATTCTTCTTCTTTATCTCCTTCTCTCTCTCACACACTCTTCTTCATTCCTCCCTTGTCTTTCCATTGCAAACCAGACCACACTGTAGTTGTGAGAAGTAGAGGCAAGGTAGGTCACCGTCGATTTCAAGGATAACTTGACATGAATCCTGGTAGCTGGCTACTAGACCTGTTCATGGGCCAGGCTTTCACTTGTCATTAAGGGAAATATGCTAGGCCCAAGCCCGAGCCCGAGCCCGAAACCCGACCTAATAAAAAAAAATAGTTTTCCCTATTCAAATTAGAATTAAAAATTCAGATAAATTTTTTTCCTATTTAAATGAACAATGGGCCTACAAGATGGTTTTTTTCCCTTTCCTTTATATTTTAAAACACAGTTTTACATTATTAAATCAAAAAATTTATTCAAATGGACATAATCACAGTACTCACTTTAAGTCTAATATTAGGTCGGGTCGGGCTATTTTGACAAAACCCGAATCTGGCTCGAATTTATTGTGAGCCAGGCTTTTTGGTCCGAATTTAAGCCCACGGGCCTATAACCACATTCAAGCCCGTCCGGGGGCCGAGCCGGCCCATCAGGCCACCCGGCCCATGAACATGTCTACTGGCTACCCAAAGTAGAGGCCTGGAGTTTGTAGTCATCTGTGCTAGGCATACTAGCAATTAAAATGCAACACTTCTCATGAACATTGCCCTTGCACATTTTGTCAAATGTGAACTAAGCCGAGAAGACACAATTCTTACCCAGTTTTGAATGTTTTTTAACACCTTAATTTGACGGAAGAATTGCTTGCTTGAAATGCTGTGAGAAGAAATTCCTTTTATTATGTTGTTTGCCTGCTTCTCTGTTAGCTTATGGGCCTTATTTTGTAGTGCCGTGTCTTGGGCTGTTTTTGTTTAGCATTCTTCTATTGGAGTTCTCTGCATTCCTGGTCTTAATCTATGATAATTTTCTTACGTTCTCATTAAATGGCAATAACAACAATTTGACAACCACATACTCTATGATAATTTTCTTATGTTCTCATTAAATGGCAATAACAACAACTTGACAACCACATACACTGAGCATAGTGCACAATGTGGAATGAATGGGACCGATGAGTCCACTTATAAGAATTCTTTTATCAAATGACACTTTAACGGTTTGATGATTGATCTATCGCATTCTTCTGGATGATTATGGAGGATCTCCTAATTGAATCTCATTGGATGATGCATATAGACCATGGTCTTGATTTCCCTGGATACAAATAATTTCTTAAAATGTCCCCTCCTCCATGCTTTCTCTCTTGAAGGTGGGAAGATATCTTTTACATTATCTCCTAACTATACATTTTTGCCTAAGGGGCCATTTGATAATAGCTGAAGTTGCTGAACTGAAAGATATATTGCTTTGTCTTTTAGTTGATAAAATAATTAAATAATAAAATTTTTAAGGGTATAGTGATATGCCCAACTTTGATTTTAACCATTAAGGAGCTCTCCTAAAAAGCTTATTTGCTAAAAAACAATAAACTTTTCAATTCAATCACTTCAGCTGTTATCAAATGGCCCCCAAACTTATTTGCTAAAATTTTCAAGGGTATACAAACAATAAGCTTATTTGCTAAAAAACAATAGCTGAATTAGTGTTTTAAAGGAGATGATAATAATTTTGGCTGAAGTTATATCTAGTAGATATGAAATGTTTGATTATTTTGAAGTCTTGAGGAGGGGTGCTTTGGCACTTTTACTTTGTATCCCTATTGTTTAACAGAGTTTAGTCAAGTTTCAACTTATTACTTACCGGTCAAAAAAGAACGTTTAATTATTTTGGTGAAATAATTTAATGTCATTTAAATTATCTTAGTTGTTACAAATACAAATATGTAAAGTGCAAAATCTATGATGTCCAATGACTTGCTACAAAAAGCTTTTCCTTACATGGATTTGATCATATTACTGCGTCATATGTATTTGATGCTGCACTTAGATTGTGGTTAGACCAATTAAATGCAATATATAAATAAATGAGTAAAAATAAATTTGTGAGTTTGACTTGCATTGATTCAGCTATTCGAGAATGTCATAAGGAGCTTTTTTCTCTGTTAATAAATATAAGGTTTTAGTTTAGTGACATTCAATATTTTTTCATTTTTTTTTATATTTTAAATGATATCCGATATTCCAATATCTGAATCCAGTTGAAGTGGGTATGAAGCTATGAATCAAATTTTATAATTCGTTATGTTTTCATTGGCATTGGGGTTAGGCTGCAACTTGGGGCAGGCTAATTCAACCCAGCCTGAAAAAAAGTATGGTTAAGGCTGAGAAATATGAATCCGACTTAACCTTTGGGTTGGGTTAAGGTTGAGGCATTGACCAATCTAACCCAACTTGAATTTGACTTAACTTCATTTTTTTTCATGTATAAATATAAATATAAATATCAAATAAGTAGTATATGTGTATTTAATGGATATGCAACTAAGCATCCATATATGTGTATATATACATATAATAATGTGAAAAATTTTAAGTTTAAAGGCAATTATTTTTCTTTTAAACATGACAACCATGTTTTTAGACGTAATAATGCTAGTATTGAATTAACATAAACTCTTATAAGTCTAAGAAATATATACATTTGGCAAAAGAAAGTAGATAAATTGGACCAACCTAAGGTCAACCTAACCCAATCCATGCCTGACCTGAACCCAACCCGAAGTATAGGATTGAGTTAGGGTTGGAGTTGGGTAGAGGTGTTAAGTGGGCTCGTGGGTGGCCTGTGCAAAGTGCGAGCTGTGTCGTGTTGGCCTATGGGCTGTTATGGGACGTGTCGCTCTTCCTGATGAAAATTTTGGGGGTCAGCCCGGTATGACCCATGGCCCAGGCCCATGCGGGCCCATGTCGTGTTGCAGGTCGGGCTGGCCTATGGGCCGAGCCCTGGGCCAGGTCAGGCCGTGCATCGAGCTAAAGCTATTTATTTAAAAAAATTGATAAAAAACTTAAAATTTTAATTTTATATGAATTTTGTGTATAAAATTGCTTATTCATACAATAATTAAATAAATTAGTATAATAAAATTTTAAAAATATTTATTTTATTAATATATTATATACTATATATTAGTATATAATTATAATTTATATAAATAATATATATGGGTCGTGTTGGGCTGGGCTACGGGCGCTTGATCGTGCCATGCCATGCCGGCCCGTGGACCTAAAGCCCCAGGCCCAACACGGCCCGCATGAACGTGTCGAGCCGTGCCGGGCTGCGGGTGGCACGGCCCGATTTACACCTAGGTTGGGACTTCAATAAATCTGGGTTGGGCGGGCCAAAATTGACTTCAATCCGCCCAACTTGCAGCCCTAATTGGGGTTGGACCCATTGGGGCATGGATGGGTACGCTTTTGCGAGCCCGGATCCGAATATATTGAAAGCAAAATTTCTGATAGTACGGCATCCAGCCGCACATCGAAATATCCTCCGTAAATATTTGTTAGAGAATTGAGATGTTCCCAACCCGATCAAACCGACCAATCCGGACCAACCCAACCTGAGTCGGTCGGGTTTTCATTCGTACTGGTCAGTTTCGGGTTGGGCACATACAAAAACCGATATCTCGGGTCAGTTTCGGTTTTCACATAAGAAAACCGAAACCGACCCGACCCGAACCGAACTAGTCTTTCTTCTACTAGTTTGGTA